ATAAGTAACTCAAGTTTCTTGATTCCAAGTTCAGTGCCCTCTTTACACACTAAGTTAGTTGTCTAAGACCACACAGCTTGAAAAGGGAGAAGCCAGAGTTCACAGCCACCTCCTTGACCACTAGCCTACATGAACATCTTGACCATTTAGCTATCTGCCCTTAATGAATGCTCCCTGTGGATTTGACTGGTCTGCCAATTTGCAAATAGTCATCCCTGCAGCAAGTACCTAAGTTGATTTTTTAAAAAATATTTCGCATTGTAAAATAATGGAGATTGAGTGACATGTGAATTTCTTGGTCATGTTAAGATCCAGAGACATTTGCTAAGTTGACCTTGAATATAGGAATACCCTAGGAAATCTCATGGTAACTGGTAACTAGGATAACAGTCAAAATTAAACAATGCTGTGGCATTACAACTAAAGGCCCTGAAACGGGGTCAGGACCAGGTTTTGGTCTGGACTCTGTTCCCTAGCTTCTCTAAGATATTGGGGAAAATCACTTACACTCTCCGTGCTTCTGTATCACTTAGGGTTCTTAAATTTGATGCAAGTCATGGAAACAGATTACTATTAACTTAAGTAACAGGGGATTTATTGGAAGGATGCTGCAAGACTCACAAATGCTTCAAAGGTTCAAAACCAGGCTTGGAAACCAACAAGAACCAAGCATCTGATTGACCTGAGCTAAAGGAATTGGAGTACTATTAGGGAGTCATGGATGTAAGACAGTCAAACAAACCCCACTCATCCACTATTGCTTTCTTTTTGGTGTCTAACAAATAACCTTTAGGACATCTTTTAGCTCTGGCATCTTCTACTTCTCTGTATTTGGAGAAGGGGGAGCAGGAAGGGGACATATGCAAATAGGGTGGTCAGAAATGCTGTGGCCGGATGTTCCCCTGAGGCTCTGCACAGCTGAGGAAGGCTGAGCCACCACAGCAGTACAGAGGCTGACCAATTTGGCATGTAGCAAGCAGGAAGTAGAAGGGGTGTTGAGCAAGTAAAGGGTTTGGGTAGACAAATTATGAGGAACAAGCACAAATGACACTTCTAACAAGTGTTGGGAAATTCCAAACACTTCTAGCAGTCGCAGCCTTTCCAGACAAAGGGTAGTCTTGACTATGTGCAAGAGACGGTGGTGGAAGGTTTCTTCAGGCTTGCAAAATGTAGCACCACCACGAGCTCCACATTTGAATGCAGTGCACGAGTAAACGTTCAACAGTCTTTCCAAGCACAATTTGCAAACTTCCAGCCCACAGGTCAGGCCTAGCTTTGCAAAGAATTTGTTACCAAGAGATAAAAATATAATTTCTGACTTTTCTTGGAAAAAGGAGGTTCTGGCAGCACTGGGCCTGCAGAGCAAGTTTTCCATTGTCTTCTGTCAGGATGCTGGCTCTCCAGATTGCCATACCCTCCTCATGGCCCTCTCCACTCCTAATGATGCCTGCCTGGACCCTGTTAGCATTCCAGGTTCTGACCTGTGACATAACTACTTCCATGACAACCCAGCGAAGGCCAGCATGGGCGCTGCCATCTCGAGGATCTATCAGGGTGGGCTTCCTCAGTGACCTGTTCAAGTCCCTAACCTCTGTCCTGGGGACTCCTTTGGTAAGATCCCTTTGCTCCCGACTTACACCTGTCATGCTAGAAACAACCATTTCTTCTCCCATAATCAAGCCACATCTCCCTCTCCTGTCAGAGCCAATCTTCAGGCATCTGTTCTCCCAAATGATCTTAAATACCCGATGGTGGAAAAGGCAGCAAAGAATCCCCGCTTAGCATCTTCTAAAATGTAGGAGGCGGGGAACACCTATGCATCCGGAAACATTTCCTTGTCTTCTTGGAAGACAATCTCTGAGGAAAACCTTCCTCCAGGGCTATTTGTTCACTTATTTTTCTGCGAGTAGCTGTGGATGTGCAGGGCACTGATAGATGATGATGATTCCCCGAAGTGAGTCTCCTCTGCACATAGCTGATCCCATCTGGATGCTACTCCTCACATATTTCTATCCCTGAACTACAGCCCACAATGTAGGGCAGAGACCGTTCAGTTCACCCTCTCCTTTGTGGAATCCATTCCCTACAAAGCAGCCACAATTTCCTTGCTTAAATCTCTTGGATGATTTCCGAGTTGCGTTGAGGCTGAACTTTAAGATGCTTAGAAAAGTCTACAAATCCTTGCCTTGTTTGCTTCTTCCGTATCTCTCAGACGTCACCTCCCTTTGCATCTTCCCTGGCTCACTCCAATTTGACCACTTGGGCCTTCCTTCAATTTGTGGAAGAGGCCAAGCTCTCTCCCACCACAGGGCCTTGATGCTTGCTGTCCCCTCGTCCTGGAGGGCTCCCGTTTCTCTTTTCCCTTTCCCCTAACACCTACTATCCTTCAGCCTTCAGCTTTTCAATCCTACTCTGGCAGAGAAGCCTTCTCTATCTTTTCCCTCCCTCCCACTCTCCCGCCCATCATCCCCATTTCTCATAGCACCATGTCTCTGCTATTATTCTTAACACAACTTGGGTGTTTCCCCACCAAATTGTAAGCTCTATGAGAGTAGAGACCTTACCATTTTGTGCCTATTGCCTATTCAGGGTCAGCACAGTCTCATCCATAATAGTCGGTGATATCTACACTAATAAAAGAGAAACATGGTAATTGGCGTACGACCGCTACCCTTTTCATTGGCTAATCAGCGAGATATGCAAATTAACTGTCAGCCAAGATGGCGGCCAGCAGCCAGGCAGCCAGGCAGCTTGAAACTAACATGAGGCTTGCTTGCCTCAGTGACGGAGGGTCATTGGAGGAAACCAACGTTCCCCACCTGAGGCTGCAGGCCTCTGAGCTGGCAGTTTAAGAAACATTGTAACAGATACTGCCGGACGTCAGCCAGCAGATTCGCAACATTGTAAGCAAAGGCCAGAAACCTACTTTCAGCCGCGGAGAGGCCTAAGAGCTGGAGCCAAGCCTCAAGGTAAAGCTGGCCCAGAATAAAAAAGAAAAAAAGAAAAAAAGGAGCGGTTGGGAGCTTCAGTCACCCCCAGCCTGAAAACAGCCCTCAGCCCCTCACCCAGACTGGCCAGGCACCCCAGCGGGGACCCCCACCCTGATCCAGGACACCCTTCAGGGCCAACCAGCCGGCCCCACCCATGCACCAGGCCTCTACCCTATATAGTAAAAGGGTAATATGCCTCCCGGCACCGGGATCAGCGTGACAGGGGGCAGCACCCAAACCCCCTGATCGCCCTGTGGCTCTGTGGGTGACAGGGGGCGGGGCCCCAACCCCCTGAGCAGCCCTGCTCTGTGCCTCATAGGGGGAGCTCCCCAACCTCCCCCCCCCCCCCCCGGGCCCTGCTCTGTGTGTGAGGGGGTAGAGCCATAACCTCCCCATCGGCCATGCCCTGAGTGTGAGAGTGGCAGCGCCCCAACCCCCTGATCGGCCCTGCTCTGTGGGTGATAGAGGGCGGTGCCCCAATCCCGATGGGCCCTGCTCTGTGACGGGGGCAGCACTCCAACCCCCTGATTGGCCCTGCTCTGTGCGTGACAGGGGGCAATGTCCCAACCCCCTGATTGGCCCTGCTCTGTGCGTGACAGGGGGCAGTGCCCCAACCCCCCGATTGGCCCTGCTCTGTGCGTGACAGGGGGTGGCGCCGCAACCTCCCCATCGACCCTGCCTTGAGTGTGACAGGGGTGGTGCCCCAACCCCCCAATCGGCCCTACCCTGAGCGTGACTGAGGGTGGCATCACAACCTCCCAATCTGCCCTGCTCTGTGCATGACGGGGCGGTGCCCCAACCCCCCAATCGGCCCTGCTCTGAGCCTGACCAGGAGCTGCACCTAGGGATTGGGCCTGCCCTCTGCCACCCGGAAGCAGGCCTAAGCCAGCAGATCGTTATCTCCCGAGGGGTCCCAGACTGTGAGAGGGCACAGGCCGGGCTGAGGGACCCCCCCTTCCCCCCCCCCCCCAGTGCACAAATTTTTGTGCACCGGGCCTCTAGTATATATATATATATATATATATATATATATATATATATATATATAAATTTAATCAAATGAATGAAAAACCACATTCCATCCCCCAGGCCAGTCAATACCACACTATGTGATCTTCTGGCGGGAATTAGACATCCTTTTTAGGAATGATATTTTTTATTACAGCCTCATATAAGCAGCTTTATCAGAAGATAAGCCTGGTGGAGAGGACAGCTATTAAACTTTTTGTTTCCCCAGACTATCACCTGGGAACTGAGTAGAAAAGCCAATCCCCAGGCCCCACTCCAGACCTCATCAGAGAGCTCGGGTGTGGCCCAGCACTCCGTGTGGTAACAAGCCTTCCAGGTAATCCTGATACACGCTTAAGTTTGAAAACCATCCTTCAAGGCTCCCAGTCTTTAACCTCCTTTTTACATCACAAATTTTGGTCCTTAATCCTCGGCATAGTCCTGCTCTTAGAATGGTATAATCTTAAACTCTCCCAGAGGGAAATATAAAAATGCACAAGTGTGAATGAATAAAAACCTCGGCACAAAGGCAGGCAGAAGAGCCAGGGAGCAAAGCTTTGTTCACCCGTCCCCGGCCTGCCCTCCCCCGGTCTGATGCTGCTTTTTTCCACCCAGAAAAGCAGTCACTCTAGTTACAGGAATGGTTGTGTGCCGCTGACAGCGTTAGCAATCAGACCGTCCTCCCCGGGTCGCGGGAGACGCCGGTGGCTGCGGAGCCCCGTCCCACCCCTCCCCGGTCCGAAATACTCCAATTTTGGGGGGTGGGGAGGTTGGGAGAGGTGGATTGCCAGCCTTCATCTCCCACCCTTTATTATGGGGCAAACCATTCTTCCTGGCACAGAAGTCACGGAGACTAAAAGCCCTTTCAGCTTCGGGAGCACCGGAGGCCCCGGCCGGCTCCCCGCCCCTCGGCGCCCGGAAAACCCGCAGTGGATTCCATTCACGGAGGGACGGGAGCGGCCGCCGGCGGCGCGCCTCACTGCGCATGCGCCCTCGCCCCGCCCGCTCCGAGCCGGAAGCGGAGCTCGCAGCCGGCCCGGCCTGGCCAGGGCGTCGGCACCGGCGGCCATCTTGGCTTCCCCGGCGAGGCGGCGAGAGGGGAAGAAGTTGTAGGGTGGGGGCCGGAGTGAGGAGGAGGGGAGAGGAGGGGGAGGAGGCCGCGGTGGGGCAGGGCGGGGACTGCCTGCCCGCCTGGGTTGCGGAAGTGGTAGCGGCTGACCGAGCTTACTGCTTTCTCGCTGCTGCTTCAGCTTCCCGGTTCCCCCACGGACGGAGAGGGCGGCCCGGCTGTGGATGGTCAGATAGCTCCTGCCTTCCGCCGCCGATCCCTGGCCACAACCAGTACGGAGCAGACGGCGGCAGCGGCAGCAGCAGGCGAGGAGGAAGATGGCGGGACGGCTGCCGGCCTGTGTGGTGGACTGTGGCACCGGGTACGGGGGCTTGCGGGCGGGGGCGGGGAAACTGAGGCTGAGGTGGGAAAATGGCGGGGAGGCGGAGGTGGGGGATGAATGGGGCGGCCAGGTGCCGCCGCCGGCGGTGTCAGCCCCGGCCCGGTCGGGGTGCGAGGGGTGGGGCCCGGCGAGACAGGCCGCCCGCGTTCCCGGTTTCACACTCTGGGACCTGGGCGGGTGCGCGGGGCCGAGGAGCCCCCACGGGGTGGATTTCTCCGCGCACCGCTCCCGCCCTTCCCCCGCCGCGGTGGGCGGCCGCCCGGGGTGCGCGGAGGTCGCCGCCCGGGGTGCGCGGAGGTCGCCGCCCGGGGTGCGCGGACGCGGTGCGGGGGTCGCCGCGCCCGGCGCCGGCTCTCCCTGCCCTCCGCGCCCTTCCTGCCGGCTGTCGAGGCCCGCGGGGCCGGGCGCGGGGACCGGCTCGGCCGAGGAGCGAGAGAAGAGAAGCGCGCCGGTCGGTGTTGCAAGATCGCGGTGACCACACTGCCCGGGGTGTGGGTGGGGAGCGGGCGGAATGGGCCTCGGAAGATGGGAGGCGACATCGGGGCTTCCTCGGCCGCCGCCCGCCGCCTCGTCCCCTCGCGGCCCTTCCCCTCGCGGCCCGCGGGGCCCCCGGCGACCCGAGGCACGTTTCAGTCCGAGGGAGATGTCATGCGTTCCTCCTCCTGCCTTCGAAAAGTCCCCCCCGTGAGCCAGCGCGCTGCAACTTCCTCAGTTTTGTCAAAGCCGCTTCCTGCTTTCGGGCTTTCATACCCTTATAAGGTAGTTTTTCGTTTCCAACCTGAACACCTCTGATGAGAACTTGCAGAATTAAGCCGATTTCAAATCGACCCGAGTGCCTTCCCGGTGCTGGGTGTCACGTCATGTGAGCGTAAACGATATACATACATGTTCGTTTCCCGGGGACGGAGGCCGGGGAGCGCCGGGAAGGCATTGTCAGCGGCGGGCATTCCTCTGGCGGTGCCGGCGGGGAGGGCGGTGTGGGGCCGGCGAGGCGCCCGCTCTCCGCGGAGCTGGGGTCCTGGCTGTGCTGTCATTGACTGAAGCGGGGACGGCCTTAGGAAGTGGTCTTCCCTTTCCCTTCTTAGGCGTTGCAGAGAGTTACACCGCGCTTGGGAGTTCTATGTAGAAAACACTGTATTTGAGCGCAGAATGACTGCTTTATGTTACTGTATTGGAAGTGTTTTCTTTTTGTGGACGTGCCCTGCGCTGATTTATTATTACATCTGTTAATTTCCAAAATACTCCGATTTTTTTTGGGGGGGGGGGTGAGGGTTGGGAGAGGTGGATTACCAGCCTTCATCTCCCACCCTTTATTATGGGGCAAACCATTCTTAAAGGATGCGCCTCTGTTTGCTCTCTGTAAAATTTCTCTTAACTTTATGCTAGTGTGGCAGTTTCTAAAATCCCAGCCATGCACAGGGAAACAACCCATCTATTAATATTTTCCCTTGGGGAAAATTAGCCTAGTTTAGCCTTGGTTACATGTATTTTGTGTGTGTGTGTGGACAGCTTATTAAAGCTACTTTTTCTTAATCCAGTCGTACTTTCCAGTATTTTCTTTTTCTCCCTTCTTAGTCTAATTGGTGAATAGTTTTATGTTCAGGATTAGTTTTAAAATCAGATTTGGCCCGACTGAGAAGGAATTTTCAGTGTGTTTTGTTAAACTGAAAAATATTGCTACATAGTTAATATTTTATACTTTGGAAATTATTGGGTTGTCAATAAAATTAGTATAGATAATTAACACCCCAGTAAATAACGTCTTAAGTAGGATGTTACCTTGTCTTCCTTCATTTTTTCCCTTTTGAAATACAGTTTTGGTTATTTTTGAATTAGTATACTAGATATTTCATTGAGGTTAACTGTCCTTAAGTGACCTTTCTGATAGGGCAACTTTGACCTTAAAACACCTGCCAAGTGACCAGGAGGTGTGGGGAGGGTTCAGTTTATATTTAGGATATTTTTGTTTTAACATTTCAGTTATTACTACTTTGTTACATTTTACATTATTACATTAGTTTTACCTTACAAGGAGAGGTTGTTAACTGGACACTCATGATTTCAATGGAACTGATTAGGATTCCTCCTCATTGCCCGTTACTTTCTTTTACAAAACATTTATCACAATTTGAAATCCATCTTTAGAGATTCATTTATTTTGGTCTTCAAAGGGCTTTTTGGTCCTTCAGTTGCCTTTTAATGCAACTCCTAGACCAGTGATGGCGAACCTACGACACGCGTGTCAGAGGTGACACACGAACTCATTTTTTTGGTTGATTTTTCTTTGTTAAATGGCATTTAAATATATAAAGTAAATATCAAAAATATAAGTCTTTGTTTTACTATGGTTGCAAATATCAAAAAATTTCTCTATGTGACATGGCACCAGAGTTGAGTTAGGGTTTTTCAAAATGCTGACACGCCGAGGTCAAAAGGTTCGCCATCACTGTCCTAGAACATTACACCTTCAGCTTTATTAGCAAACACAGGATAGCTCATTGAGATTGGACCCTGGGACAAGCATCTCTAAGTGAGGCCTTACTTGATAGGGAGTTTTATGTTTCAGAATAGTGTGTGTGGTCTCCAGATGCAAATTGTGCACCTATAATTTCTGTATTCCTTTGTGCTTTAGAGAATGCATTCATGTCTTCGGTCTAATTGCAGTTACTCACTTAGTGTAAGTGAAAAATGAAAACCTTAATCAGTTTGCTCATTCCATTTAATTATATACATTAGCCCAAATGTGACTGAAGAAAGTGGCCATCTATGAAACTTGGTGGTCTTAGGTAAGAAAAGCTATAAGAGTTAGGAAATGAAGCTTAGAACTAGAATTTAAAAATCCTTCAGCAGAGATCCTTTATCTCAACATATGATGAAGAATCATTTAAGCTCAGATCATAAAAAATAACTCCTTTTGAAAAAATTTAGGAAGAAATAGTTCTTTCATATTGATACCCTATCTACACACTTTTTTTGGTTTGTATTAGAATAGTGCTGCAGAATAAAATTTGGCCACAAAGATTCTCATTGATAGAGCTGGTTGCTTAAGAACTAAATTACAGAACTTAAAGCTACAACCAGTGGTGAGGAAAACATTTTTTTTTTAATATATATATATTTTTACTGATTTCAGAGAGGAAGGGAGAGAGAGACAGAAACATCAATGATGAGAGAGGATCATTGATGGGCTGCCTCCTACATGCCCCCTACTGGGGCTTGAGCCTGCAGCCCAGGCATGTGCCCTCGGACCAGGGACCCTTCAGTATGAAGGCCGATGCTCTATCCACTGAGCCAAACCAGCTAGAGCGAGGAAAACATTTTTTTTAAAAGCACTTTTAAACACATGAAAAGTTAAAATTACCTTGTTATTTTTTTGCACGTTTTCACTCACATTTCAGTCAAGCCAAATAAAGGAGCTTTTAATGTGCTTTTATTATGTTGTGGCTTGGTTACAGAGCTTTGCATAGTAAAAATTCTTTTCCCCCTTTAAGATGCCCTCCCCTCCCCCATAGATGTTGCATTGGTAAATTATTTGCATTGCTTATGATAGCAGAGGTTAATAATAGCCTTATTGTAGAACTATTAGATATACTTAGATCTAGGATGAATTAAGGAATTTCCCTAATTGACTTAAACTTCTTAGCAGTCTTAAAATGTAAGCGTAAATATTTTGTTGGAGTCCATTCATAAGGAGCTTATTTTATTCATTCTGTAATCACATCCTAGCAATGAGTATAGATGGGATGACCTTGAGAGCAGAGGGGAAGGGCTAAGTGCATGGGGGAAAACATAAGTGGAAAGTTCATGTTTCTTACATTAATTCTGTACAGATTATTTTATAATGCTATTTATTTCTCCAGCTATCTCCAGGCGCAGAAATAGTCACTATATCTGTAACCCCAAAAAAATTCATGCAAATTTTTATTCCTTCATGGGTCATGTTTTGCATGCTGTTTGAAGTAATAGACATGTTCCTGTTGAGAAGTTAGTCTTATTTAGATTTTTGTAAAATCTCTCCTTTTTTGTCTTTTCTGATTATTTTGTGATGAAACATTGATTTTTGGATTGGGTATGTGTTGTATCTAGTGAACTTTCCAGCCTTATTGTAAAATACAGTTCAAAATTTTTATTTTTAAGCATAGAAGGGAAAGATCCACCAGTAGAAGACTTGCTGGTCAGGCTTTTTAGTTATCTTATTTAAACTTATGACAACTATTTTTTTTAACCTAATTTTACAAGTAAGAAAATTGGATTAGAAAATTTAAATTACCTTTTTAATGTCATGTAATTAGCAGCTAGTGAGAATTGCTATTTGGACTTAAGTTTTCCTGTACTTGAGCCCTGTGTTTTTCTATTACACTATAGGGACTCAGCCTCTTTTCAGAACTATGCACTTTGCTTTATTTTTATTAGTAAGATCAACTCTATTCTTGTTTAAAGTAATCGTTAAAAAATCATAGTATTACTCATTTGATTTAATTAATTAGTGAAACCTTACTGTGCAGATCTTTCCGACTTAAGATTTTTTTTTCTCGTTATGTGGATTCTTTGACTTATTTCCTTATAACTTTGCTTAAATTTATTCTCTAGAAAAAATTTACTCTCATAAAAGAGAAAGAAAAACAGACAAAAGGTTTTATCAGGTAATAACAGCTAACATTTATCAAGAATTGTGTGTCAGGCCTGTGCTAAATGCTTTATATTATCTCATTTACTTTTCACATTAATTGAGAAATATTATCTCCATTTTATAGACAATAAAATTTTGGGTGAGGGAAGTTAAACTACTTGTCCAAGGTATTTTAGCAAATAACTGATAGAGCCACCATACAGGGTGGGGCAAAAGTAGATTTGCAGTTGTGGGTATGCGAAATACAAGAGTTTATTTCTTGTATTATTATTTATTAATTATTGTATTTTCTATAAGAACAACTGTAAACCTACCCTTTTTGCCCCACCCTGTATAGTGGTCTCCTTAC